CTTCTATGTTCACTTTATATTTATATATATATATATATATATATATATATATATATATATATATATATATATATATATAAATTTACTAATTTAAAGATATGATCCCATTGCTACACAGGAATTACTATGTTTCAAAATCAGAAACTAAAATCTTCAATATTCAATTATAGTATTATTTTAAAGTCCCTAGTCCTGTTTCATTTTCAAGAGAATTTTGGAATAAATTATTTTTAAATTTCCTGAGTTTTATAAGCATATACAGTCATAATATTAGTTTCAAAGGATATGGAGAAAAATTCAGTCATTTTGACAAGGAGTAGTAGGGTATTCATTTTCACTGACAACTATTGTATCAAAATATGAGTTACTTTCGAAAAGAGGTTAAGATAAGGTAGGGTAGGGCTGCCTTTTTCATGATGACATCTGTTTAACGCATGCTTATAAAACTCAGTAAATTTCAAAATAAATATATTTCTCTCAACCATACTTAGTATTGGGGGTCAAGGTCTGGTCACTCCTCCTCCCCCAATACTAAGTATGATTGAGAGAAATATTAAATTAAACCCTCCCTAAACTCTACCATGTCCCTCTAACCACTCCTTATTACACTCTCTGTTAAATTACAAAAACTTACTGTACCCATCCATTTTCATTTCATTTTTCGTTTCATCTTTTGGAAGTGCTATCTGATGATCCAGCATCCTTTAAAATGGCTCTGGTGAAATAAATTATTATAATGGTACCTTAAAGTGGTCTGTTTTTCTTTTAAATATTAGCTCTGGATTTACATTGACCTTTCAGGATTTCATCCTCCTTGGGACTACCCATACAGATTACCAAGTTTCTCATAACTATATATATATATATATATATATATATATATATATATATATATATATATATATATACATACACACACATATATATCTATTTATATATGTATGTGCGTGTGTGTGTGTGTGTATTGATGTAATAGGAAAGAATAGTTAGATTAATGATCCAAAGTTCTTTAGTATTTATGTTTTTAGTTTTAAAAGATAGTGCTTAATACAGAAGAAGATTTTAAATTGTAATTATTTTTTAAAAATATGATTCCATTGGTACACAGAATTTACTATGTTTCAAAACTTAACTCAAATCCTGAAGTTTAATTTCAATATTAAACTTAAAATTCAGAGTAGAGTTTCATTGTCAAGCAATGTTTCAGAATATATATATATATATATATATATATATATATATACAGAAAGAGAGAGAGGGAGAGAGGAAGAGAGAGGCATGAAATACAAGAAAGAAAACTCTTTTTCTATCTTTTACTCTCTCTATATATATATTTCTATTTAGGTGGCCTTTAACAACTTAAGGCTATGTTCTAAATATTTTTTATAAATAAAATCAATGAGAAACACATAGAAGTAGAATGAATACACTTTCGGCTAAAGTTAGAGATACTGATATAGATATGAAATTATTGGAATCTATCTATCTATCTATCTATCTATCTATCTATCTATCTATCTATCTATCTATCTCAGTCTGTTTTACTTCCTTTCATAAATTGATACTTTTTTCATTCATTCTTTCTCTTTTCCTTTCTTTCTATCTCAACAATAATAAGTAATCTATCTGTCTAGCTATTTATATAGGTCTGTTTATATCAAACTTGGTCTGAATATACCTATCTGCCTATTATTTTATCTATATCAGCCTGTGCATATCTATCTATCTATGTTGGTCAGTTTCTATCTATCTGTCTATCAACTTTAGTCAGCATCTATCTATCTGACCATCTACCTATTTATTTATCTCTGTCTGTTCATATCTATATATCTACCTATCTATCTATCTAGCTCTCTATCTATTTTGGTATGTTTATATCTCTATCTATCTTGATTTGTTTATATCTATCTATCTATCTATCTATCTATCTCAATCTGTTCTTATCAATCTATCTATCTATCTATCTTGGTCTGTTCATATCTATCTATCTATCTATCTATCTATCTATCTATCTATCTATCTATCTCATTCTGTTCTTATCAATCTATGTATGTCTATCCTATCTATCTATGGTCTATTCTATCTATCTATCTATATCTATCTATCTATCTATCTATCTATCTATCTATCTATCTATCTCAATCTGTTCTTAATCATCTATCTATGTACCTATCTATCTTTTGGTCTATTCATATCTATCTATCTATTTATCTCAATCTGTTCTTATCAATCTATCTATCTATCTTGGTCTGTTCATATCTATCTATCTATCTATCTATCTATCTATCTATCTATCTATCTATCTATCATTCTGTTCTTATCAATCTATGTACCTATCTATCTTGGTCTGTTCATATCTATCTATCTATTTATCTCAATCTGTTCTTATCAATCTATCTATCTATCTTGGTCTGTTCATATCTATCTATCTATCTATCTATCTATCTATCTATCTATCTATCTATCTGTTCTTATCAATCTATGTAAAATGCTATCTTGAATTTCATATCTATCTATCTATTTATCTCAATCTGTTCTTATCAATCTATCTATCTATCTTGGTCTGTTCATATCTATCTATCTATCTATCTATCTATCTATCTATCTATCTATCTATCTATCTATCTATCTCAATCTGTTCTTATCAATCTATGTACCTATCTATCTTGGTCTGTTCATATCTATCTATCTATTTATCTCAATCTGTTCTTATCAATCTATCTATCTATCTTGGTCTGTTCATATCTATCTATCTATCTATCTATCTATCTATCTATCTATCTATCTATCTCAATCTGTTCTTATCAATCTATGTAAACTATCTATCTTGGTCTCTGTTCATATCTATCTATCTATTTATCTCAATCTGTTCTTATCAATCAATCTATCTATCTTGGTCTGTTCATATCTATCTTCTATCTATCTATCTATCTATCTATCTATCTATCTATTTCTATCTCAATCTGTTCTTATCAATCTATGTTATCTATCTTGGTCTGTTTCAATCTATCTATCTATCTCAATCTGTTCTTATCAATCAATCTATCTATCTTGGTCTGTTCATATCTATCTATCTATCTATCTATCTATCTCTATCTATCTATCTATCTATCTATCAATCTGTTCTTATCAATCTATGTACCTATCTATCTTGGTCTGTTCATATCTATGTCTGTTCTTATCAATCTATCTATCTTGGTCTGTTCTGTTATCATCTATCTATCTATCTATCTATCTATTTCTATCTCAAATCTGTTCTTATCAATCAATCTATCTTGGTCTATCTATCTATCTATTTTTATCTCAATCTGTTCTTATCAATCTATCTATCTATCTTGATCTATCTATCTATCTATCTATCTATCTATCTATCTCTCAATCTGTTCTTATCAATCTATTCTTGTACCTATCTATCTTGGTCTGTTCATATCTATCTATCTATTTATCTCAATCTGTTCTTATCAATCCTATCTATCTATCTTGATTCTTCTATCTATCTATCTATCTATCTATCTATCTATCTATCTATCTCATCTATCTCGATTATCAATCATCCTATCTATCTTGGTCATATCTATTCATATCTATCTATCTATCTATCTATCTATCTTATATCTATCTATCTATCTATCTATCTATCTATCTTTACATGGAAAGAAACAGTACAGTTATTATTAGGTATTATCATGTGACACAGCAACTAATAAAAGATATTTGCTGCACAATTCAACCTTGAATACAGTAACCAATTTTATAATATGTATGCAACAACACATGGATGTGGATATATGCCCAGTTCTGCACTGTTCATATATATTTATGTTGGTGCGAGCTCCAGTGAGTGAGTGTGCGCATATGTATGTTTACGTATGTATGAGTGGCACTCCGACAACAATTTTTCCTCCTACTAACATAAGAACACTGATATACACAACCATATATAAATCCAAAATTTTAAAATTAATCAGTTTGTCTGACAATTGCAAATAGTGTGAAAGCCAGGGTCACCAGCTTATAATTTATATCATAACGAAATAATTTATACAAAGAATTGAATAGCAATGTTAATGTGATTAATGGCAAAAGCCTTTCACTAACAGGACTTAATGAGACATTAACTTACTATCAATATCTTGAATAATAAGATCCTTATGTTCGAGTTGTTGTCAGGTGGAAGACACATGACATGTACTTTCAACAATTTCAAATTATCATCTTCAGGCCTATATATGGGAAAATTACACACTGAAGATGACAATTTAAATTGTTGAAAGTACTTGGCATGTGTCTTCCATGTGACATCAACTCGAATATAAATATTTCATTATTCAAGGAATTGATAGTAAGTTAATATCTCATTAAGTCCTGTTAGTGAAGTGATTTTACCATTAATCACATTAACAGTGCTATTTAATTATTTGTATAAATTATTTGTTTATGATATATATATATATATATATGGAGGGGAGAGAGAGGAAGAGGGAGAGAGGGAGAGAGAGGGAGAGGGAGAGAGAGATCTTAAGTAAATTGTACACAGACATAGCATAGATATGAACACATTGGAACCTATCTTGTTTTTCTGCATCTTTTCATTCCTTTATGTCTGTCTCCCTTTCTATTCATTCTCCCTCTATCTCTCTCTCTCTCTTTTCTTCATGTGTGTGTGTGTGTGCATATATATATATATATATATATATATATATATATATATATATATATATATGAGAGAAAATAAAGAAAGAAAGTAGATAGATAGATAGATAGATAGATAGATAGATAGATAGATAGATACAAAATAAAGATAGTTAGATAGTCATATAGACATATATATAGACAGATATATAGCTAGGTAGAATTATAGCTAGATTTATAAATAGATATGAATAGACTGTACAGCCAGATATATAGATATATTCATATATAGAGAGAGAAAAATAAGGAATTAGATAGATAGATAGATAGATAGATAGGTAGACTGATAGCTAAATTTATAGATAAATATGAACAGACAGAGGGATGTATAGAGAGAGAAAGACAAAAGAATTAAACAAATTTAGAAAGATAAATATATACATAGATAAGAGGTACTCTTATACATAAAATTATTAGATATATGTGGGAAGATGGCATATGTCTATGTATCAACGTATACATGCATTCATAAATATATACACATGTGAAAACACTCATATATATATATATATATATATATATATATATATATATATATATATATTTATATATATATAAAATGGGTTTTTCCCTATGAATCTGGAATTAATTGATGAATATTCCTGAAATGAATAATAATTTAGAATTCATTTGCGTAGTTCTGTTCTTAACAATAGATACAAGAAATAATTAAATTTCCTTAATTCACTGTCCTAACTTTGATTCCAAACTTTAACCTTTTCGGCATGCCAAAAATTAATGATTCAATCCATTTTTCAAGTTTCGGCTCATTTTTCTTTTATTCTCAGTTCTCCATATAAAATCCTCTAATTATCAATCACGTCACAGGAAGTCAAAGTTTCATTCTTTCTCACTTGTAAATCTCATCACCTGATAAAACAAATAAACAAGAAAAAATGCCAAAAAAAACCTCATGCTGAAGATCTTTTTATTATTTCAACAAAATTCCCCTGGAATTAATTCTGAGAATCTAGTCATTGGTGTCAACCTGTCCAGATATTGTATAATCTATTTCAACATTTTATTATTTCTAATTTATAAATCTAATGTTGTGTATAGATTTCTGTCCGAATTCTTACGAAGAGGTGTTATCAATATTTTCATTGTTTACATTCAGATTAATGTCCTCATCTTTGATGTTATTTCTGGGATGAGGTGTTATCATTATATACATTCACACCAATATCCTAATCTTTGTTGTTATTATCACGTGATTGCTTTCTGTCTGAATTTCTGGGATGAGGTCTTATCATTATTTACCTTGGGACTAATATCTTTATCTTTGTTGTTATCATTACCTGATTGCTTTCTGTCTGAATTTCTGGGATTAGAAGTTGTCATTATTTACCTTGAGACTAATATCCTCATCTTTGTTGTTATTATCACCTGATTGTTTTCTGTCTGAATTTCTGGGATGAGGTGTTATCATTATTTATATTAAGACTAATATCCTTATCTTTGTTGTTATTATCACCTGATTACTTTCTATTACAATTTCTAGGATGAGGTGTTATTATTTACATTCAGACTAATATCCTCATCTTTTTTGTTATTATCACAAAATTTGGTTGGTTTGCTCCCTGTCCTTTTTTTGATATCAACCTGAATTTTGAAGTATAACACTTTATTGAATCAATGGGAGTTAACTGCTTTCATTCTGGTATGCCTGCAGATATCTCACCGCTTTCTTATTTAGTACTGCTTGGTCATTCCATGCCCTGTTTCCACTTTATTTAAATGTGTATTACTATCTCCGGTCGAATCTATTACATTCACTTATGTGCTAATACCCTTTGGAAAGGTATGGATCCTCTTCTTCTCCTCCCCCCAGCTATGTGTAGATAGCAGGACAGATTGGGTTCTAAAGCCTTGGAAAGCAACTGGTCTACTGCAGAAAGAAATGGCAATCTACTGCAGGAAAAAAAATCTGCCTCGTCATTCATGTATAGAAAGAGACATGATCGCCTAAGCATGTATCATGAATGGCACATAACTGACTGACTATTATCTACCTTGATTGAACTCATATTTACTGTTCCATTTGACAATCATCCACAGCTGGTTTTCTTTGATCTTCGCATGTTGATAGCTTGCATAGTCAACTTGATCACTTCTGTACACCTCTAACCTTTTTTTTGGTTTGTGATTTTGCCCAATTTTGCCAATCAATTTTTGTTCAAGCCTTGTAGCTTCACTTTCTATCTGTTGTTTGTTTGTGGAAATAAAATAATACATCTTTCTTCATATTATAAAATGCTTCTGGCTGATCTGTTATCTGATTTTTTACAAAACTGCTGATATTCAGAAAAATAGTAAATATAACTGCTTAAAAGCCACAGCATAATCCCCTCCTGTGAAAATATTTTCAATTAAATTGTTATAGTCATGACCATGTCCTTTTATAGTGAGATAAGGAGAAATCTATTAAGCAGAAAAAGTATGAACAAGCATATATTTACTCAATGACATACAATAAAGAAAACAATGATTTTTTTTAAAAATGAAAATGAAAAAGCATAAAGAGAATATTTTAGAAAACCGTTGAAGAAAGAGAAAGAGGAGGAAGAAGAGGAGAAGAAGAAGAAGAAGAAGAAAAAGAAGAGAGGAAGTGGAAGGAGGAAAAATGAAAGAGAAAGGAGAAAAAAGAGAAGAGATTTAATGTGAAAGTAAATAATAATAATAATAATAATAATAATAATAATAATAATAATAAGAAGAAGAAGAAGAAGAAGAAGTAGGAGTAGTAGTAAAAGAGAAAGAAGAGGAAGAAAGAAAGAAAAGAAGAGTAAGTAGAAGGAGGAAAAATGA